TGCCGCTGAGGGCTGGATAACGCAGGGATCCGTCTAGGGGATGTGCAGTTACTCATAGGTTCTTGTGTCCCAACTTTCCATTGCGTAGTTGGTGCCCACTGGGGAAATTCTGATTCCTTGGGGATGTAGACACAAAGATGCTTTTTCTGGGGTGAGCGGTGCCTTATGATTGGCTGACGTCCTTTCGACGTTGGTGGAGTATCCCGGTTATCCTTATTCGGGTGACTTTTTGATTTTCTTGGTTTTGTGGCCTCTGCGTAGACCGTTATCCGCTGGGGGATTCTGTCATTTTTTTCTGATTTTCCCTTTCTGATTATTTCCGACCCGGACAATTTTAGGGGTCTACATGCCACACCTGAAACAAACATTCCCTAGATGGGAACAATCTCTGACTACATGGGTTCCCCCACATTTGTAGCACCACATTGACTGTGCTCCACCCTAAGGAGTAGCAAGACAAGCTCCCCTACTAATAGCACCTCTCTGAGACTGAACAGGCCTATCATAGGGTCCCCTCTACTGGCCTCCCCTCTTGGATCCTGATGATCCATCCTTGACTCTCGCAGCCTTGCTGCCTCCACCACCACTCTCCAGTGTCTCCACCGTCTTTTCCTTCTCAACCAAGGCAGGAAACTCTACAATGGACATAGGGACAATAAATTTCTTCAGCTTATGTCTCAACCCCTCTGCAAACTTCCTACATCTCCAAGCCTCAGATATGGCTTGAGAGTAAAAATGGGCCAAATGCTCAAACCTCGTAGCATACTCAGAAACAGACATGCTCCCCTGCTGCAATCTCATGAACTCAATCTCCTTAGCGTATCTAACGCTATCTAGGAAATACTTCTCCAAAAAGACCTTCCTGAAGCAATCCCAATCAACCACTACACCTCTGCTCTCTAACATTTGCCTGGTGCCTCTCCACCAGTACTCAGCCTTGCCCGCTAGCATATACACTACATAGGCCAACTTTGTCTCTTTAGAAGATCCCAAAACACTAAATATCTTCTCCATCTCGCACAACCACTGATCTACAACATCAAGATTTGAATCCCCCTTGAACTGAAGAGGCTGACATCTCCTGAACTCTGCCAAATCTCTCCCATCCCAAGAGATCATTGGTCTAACTACCTCAACAACAGCTCTACCTACCTCCATCTGAGCAAAGTGAGCACTCTGCTGTTGCATTGCCATGGCCATCATCTTCATTGTCCTAGCAATCTGGTCATACGGAGGCCTCACCATACTACAAGAATTCAAACATTCTTTTAGTAACACTGTACCACCATAATTCAACAAAACCAATCACATATTAGAGACATGACACAAAAAAAACCTAGAAGGATCACTCCGCACAAAGTATCCAGAAGACTCGATCGGCTCTGATACCGTAAAAGTGTAACGACTCGCTGTGGTCCCTAAACTCAGTGGAATCGCACTAAATACTAGTGGACTAAGAAAATATATTAAAACTGGATAAACCATACATACAAGTCTATCTAAAAATAATAATAATAACTATGTTTCTGTGTACAAAATATAACACCATATATGTACACTCATCCCAAAATAATATCACCCTAGTGCCGGTCAAACACGCCTAGTCAAACACTCCAACACTAACTCCGACACTGGGACAAAACACTGGATCTTGTCAGCACTGACCATATCAACTCCAACCTAACCTTGACCTGCTTCCATACATAGTATGATCATCACAGTCTATCCACATGGAAACAGAAGGGTAAGCTAGAGTTCAATAAACAACCATACAAGCATAAGAATAATTATCTATGCTACTCAACTATCAAGTCATCAAATCATGAAGTCAAACACATATACTTCATTATAATAACAATCATGCAATAATAGAAACTCATGACAGATATTAATGCATATCAATTATCTAATGCATCGTCACGCATACACCTAAGAGATCTCCCAAATAGCAGAGCAGTATAAGTGACATCCTAATCCTACCGAAACCACCCCAACCATTTTCACGTCCAATGTGCCAGCTCGATCACAGCTAAACAAGATATAAATTCTCACTCGGGTTTACTCGGATTATGTCACTTATACACTTGGAAGTTCGGTTCCACTATCAGGTATAACACAGTTAGGTACAGGCTTACCACGACCTTGGCATGCATTACCAAGTTACTTGTGGAGTTCGCCCACCGACTATCCGCAAGGAAGCACACACCTTCCCTAGTACTTGGTTAAGGGAATAACCCTCGACCTCATACCCTCAACATCATACATGGCCAATTCACCATCATGACTAATATCATTCTCATATGAACATACACACATGTCATATCATATTTAAACATTCATACATATCATTACCAAGCAGACATATGAATCATACATCACCATACATCATATATCATACATACATGATCAAATCTTCAACTTTAAACATGCATAAGCATCATTTTTAATTAACATCACTAAGCGTACTCATGCCCGACACAATCAGCTCGCACCTAACCTAAATCCAACCCAAGAGTTCTAAGCTCTTCCACACCCGACGCAGTCAACTCGCGCCTAACATCTTGAAGACAAAGACTCATAGAAGTCTTTACGCCCGGCTCACCCACCCTGTGCCCAACGCAACCTAAAATAGAGGCCTCCAGGCCCGATGCACTTACCCTGCGCCCGACGCCATATCAGCAAAACATCATCCAAGCCACTATCTGATATTGTGCCCAGCATGGTTCTCCTCACGCCCATCGTGAACTCATCCAAAGACTCCCATTTACAATCACACCTGATGCAACTAACCTCGCACCCGGCGTGATCAAGAAATGGTTGCCCTTGATGACTGGACGCTCGGTGCCAGAACATGTGCCCAACGCAAATTCATATAGCAGCCTCCAAAGCTTCAAAATTTTCCATCAAAACTTGAAAATCAACAAATCCAGCCACATGTAACCCATGAAATATAGCATGTAGGCTCAATACAACTTGAAAACAAACTCAGATTCAACATTCACCCATCCGATGCATCGAAATTAAGAAAAACCCCATTTTTCCCAAAACCCCAAAAAATGAGAAATTCCTTCAATCTAACCACTAATTCTAAAATTTTATGCATCAATTGAGTTCACAACTTACATGAAACCAAACAATCTACTTTCTAGCTTCCCTCACCTGAAGATTAACTTAGAACAACCAATAAGATGATGAAGAAGAAGAATCTCCCTCAAAGTTCGTCCCGCAAACTTTAATCCTCCAAAACAAGCTTCCTAGCCTGAATTCCAAGAAAAGACAGAAGGAATTAGTGATCTAGAGAAGAAGAAGAATCAAGCAGAGAATTTTGGGAGAGAAAGGAGCTCACGGACCCAGAGTCTTTCTCTCTAAAACCTCTCTCTAGATTTTCTTTAAGAACGAGCTTATGAGGCTCCCTACTCAAAGAAAACCTTATATACTCTCTAGCATCCACTAAACCCTGAATCAACTTACTATGTTACAACACTTACATTTAGGGTTCATTTTAGGGTGCATTTGAGTGCATTTGGGTTTGCATTACTCGGCCATGCACTCCAAATGTAACCCTAGCTCCTTTGTTTCCCTCTATAAGTACCCTAGGCCTCCCACCTTATTGTTATATGATATTGAGTAAGCCTTTGTGCCTCAAAATCCCTTCCTTAGTCATTAAGTCATTTTTGTCCTATCCTATCTCCTATCTCTTCCTTGAGTGAGTAAACCTTGAGTGGCCTTCATGTATCCATGGAGTGTTGAAGAGCTTCCATTCATCATGTCAATCTTCCTTGCTTTGGACGTCCACTTTTCTCCTTGGTGGCTAAGAGTTCTTGATTATCCATGATCCTTGGAGCAATGAAACTCTTCCATTGACATCTCTATCCATCAATGGCTAGGTGTTTCCATATCACCATCATACAATAAAAGCATTAAAATATATAGTGTTATAGATCTGACACATTTTTTAAGTGTAGAAATACATGCATGTTAAGCTCATACAAATAATATATGTTTTCATAATTGTGGGAACCAATGATTAGGTACTTGGGTATAGGTTAAAAATGATACTTTCTCTTGGATTAATGCATGATATACAATATTTATATATTAAAAAATGGTAGCTAATATACTAGTATATTTATTGATAAATTAGTATATATTAATATATTTTGAAATAAATATAAATATATAAGATAAGATAAATATATAAGGAAAAGTTAATCAAAAATACTAATACATCATGTCATCCGTTAACGTAACATCAACAAAATATTTATTTTTTAACAGAAGACTAAAATTGTACAGTTATGACACTTGAATGAATATAATTATTTAATTAAAAATTAAGAGATCAACATCGCATGATGATACTTGAGTGATTAAAATTGTTCAATTAAAATTTTGAACTAAAATTGAATAATTGCAAAAATTTAAGGAACCTAAAACACATTTAAGCCTAATTATTAATCAAAAAATCAACAATTGAGATTATAGTAAATTTTGGATTTTATTATATATATATATATATATATAATTAAGGT